GCACGTCCAATGCTCCTGTATACTGGCCTGGTCGCTATGCGACTTTCTGTGAGGGTTCTAAATCGTGCCCCAAAACACAACGGGTCGAGCGTGTCCCACAACCTGATCGATGAATGCCCTTTAACCATAGCCTTTTTATTTCTCAATGGTCGCACGAGTTCGTTTATGTTCTCGACACAGGGTTGCCAACGGCCTGCATTAGTGAACAAGGGCTTAAATATACAAAATAACGACAGAACTTAAACAAGACTTGCGCTTTTTTACAACTTACTACTCCCCAGAATATCTAGCGAATTAGTGTCTATTAACTTCCACCAATGCCCAAATGGCATTTCGCTTTACGGCTGTTGCTCACACAACGAGCATGTTCCTTGCGTTTATTCAAATAGTCTCGTTCCATGTATTGCTTGTTAGATATATGTACAGTACGTAACCTATCTCATGAAACCTGATGACAGAAACTGAGGTGAGAATTTCTTGACCTCTTAACTGTTACGCACTTTGCTCGCTCGTCCAGCCTCTTCAAGGATATGTCTGTTTCTTGTGTAGAAAATGTGTCCTTGTAATTTTATCAGGCAAATGTTCATAAATTTGAACGAGAATGGATATTGCGATATATCCGGGCAATTTTCTATGCTAATACCTGTCCTAGACTTCAGTTGCGCATCTGAGCGTGTTCTTCTTGGAGAGAAGAGTAATTTACCCTCGAGAGTTCTGCCAAAAAAAACATTTCGCACTTGAAAATTGATTTTTTGTCCGATGCTAAACGCGGAAATCAGTACGCTGACTCGGGTTATTTTTAGAGAACCAAGAATTTTATCGACTTTTACAAATCACATTAGCAAGTCTCCGATTCTGTGCCCTAATTCCTAAAGGATATGTAAATGTTACGATAACATTCAGAGGTTATTGTATTTGCGCTGTCATATTTACTCAGTATTTTGCATAGACAGCTTTCCTTTACATATAAAACCGGACTTTACACAGTCACAACCATTTTCTACATTCCCGGGATTTCCCGCTTTTCTAAAAGAAACTTGGTATTTCGAAACAACGTAGCACTGCCTTTAATATTTATTCTCTGCTTTTGCTCCCCCTAAAGTTGTTATTTATTGACATAGATTTTGGGTCCGCCCATTGGTATCGGTTTGCGAGTGATTAGCAATCATTCGTAAATCTTGACACCTTTCATGAGTTAGGTCTCCAACGGTATTTACAAGCCGGCCGGAATCACTCTTAAAAACAACTGTTTGAAGTACATTTATTTGCAGAAAATTTGATCTTGTCTATCCCATGATTTCTTACTTTCGTCGATGTTTCCACTCCCTACCCCGCGGTCCTCGAGGTTTCTGTGATGGTCAAGGCGAGGATGCGCTCAACGAATTGATCAACGCTGCCCATTCAGTGGACAATTTAGCCTTCATGGATCCTTCGTGGTTGCCTTGGATTTGATTCCCAGCATTTTCCCAAATCCCCCACTGGTGCATTTATCCATGTCAGAAGAACCAGACCCCCTGTTGGTGTAAAAAGATTCAGAAATTTGCTATGTATGCTTACATTTTCGTTTATGTTTTTTTTCTACATGAGACTGACAAAGAAGTACATTTTATATTGGGTTTCTTTTATTTATTGCCCTTCGTCTGTCTTACGTTTGTCGCTGGCAAACGTTCCCAACAGCGTTCGTCCGTCTTCCTTTGGAATACTTGCGCGACCTTTATCTTGACCAGCCTATCTGTAAGGCCTCCATGGGACACTTAAGTCCTTTTATAGCCCGATAACTGAGGAAAAATATAGTCTTCAATCATGTTCCGGTAATCACCGTTACTGGTTCCAAAAGCCCTATGATCTTTGGTGTTTATTCACTCACATCAACTTGTGCCGTCGACGAATCCCAAAGAAGTAGGTTTTCTCTACTAGTAGCTGGATTTTCTTTCCGAGTTGAACTTTGGAAATAACTGACTGTTTACGCCCCTGACGGATTGCGTATCAGAAGGCCGCTCTCTGTAGCAAGAATTTGGTAAATTGAAGACATGTGGGTATGGTAAGGGGTCTGTGGCGCAATTCTCAACGTACTGCAATTGTTGAATACCTTTCATGGCGTGCGACCAACAGCTACTCCTTGAACATGCCAACGCTGGCTGAGTTCTTATTCTGATCGTTCTGAGGACTGGGAGTGTATCTTTTTGGCTGCCGTTTTCTCGACTGCTCGTTCAATGGAAGTCTCCATACCTGCTTATGCTTGGTACGACATAATCATGCTTGGCCTAGCTATCCACGGAGAGGACGCGGATACTATTTGTCCCCGCAGGGGTCAGGAGACTTCAAATCGCTCTCTGCCTTAGCGACCAATGCTGAAAGTCGAGGAGACTACCACATCTGGACGGACAGTGCTCAGCACGTTTTCCACTGACCTTTGGACCCTCAAGCGGTGACGTCAGCTTCAAAGTTTCTCTGTGTTTACGAGGCGGATGACAGACGTCCGGATGTTTCTGGGTATCCTCTTAGTAGTCAGCTCTATCGCGAGTGCGGACTGTTTCATTCATGATGGCCTCGGTATATTTTACTCGTTGATCGTTCTCAGACAGCGGCGCCGCTGGGTGGATTCGAGACTTCGCTCGGCTGCCCCGCGAACTGAGGACTTCAATGCAATCTGCCACAGCCATCTTCCATTCCGAATACAGGGTGAATCCAGATTTCTGTGTTCGAGGTCTCGACTGTTTTGGGCTGTTGCACTTTGAGAAATTCGAGTATTCAAATTCGTAAAGTTGAGAGGTCCGGGTTGGTGATTTGAAGAAAAAGATGGGTTCACCAGAACGGGTTTATTTATGTGCTGACGTCTCGAAGAACTTGGTCGGCTCCCCATTGTCAAGGCGTAAAATGCACTTAATCAACCAGGAATATCAGGTGGCATGTCACGTTGGTCGGTCTCATTCTGATCGATTTCTATCTTGTCTCGCCGCCTCGGCCTCTCGGGGGATGGTTGGCGGGCGTTTTATCTGTGTGCTTTGTGAGTCATCGCTTCTTCGGAGGGAGGTGACTGAACCTTTGTAGGGTGGTCAGTCTAGTGGTTCTTCTTCCTCGCCGTCGGGCCGTCTATGTATGGCTTTCTTAAGTCCAGTGTGGTTACTTGATCCTGAACTCTACGTACGTGATAACGTAAGACTTTGCAGGCTGCCGGGAGGTCCTGATGCCTGCTGATGGAGTTGGCATCGGAGTATTCTTGCACAGGAGCTTATCAGAACGAATGGGAAGTGAAACTCCACGTGTGTGATCATGAGCAAGATCTCCATCAACGTTGTTACTTTCGACGCCACACCGATCTTTGGTGTTCCTTGAAACTGGGACATAGCTAGTCCGGCTGACCACACGACCATCGTTGGGATATCGGACCGGCTTATACTTGGGACGAAGCCAGACGCCCAGATATCATTCACCACTGTCCCATCCAAAACCAGGTCAGCTATAGCCAGTTAGGTAATTGTGCTTAAATAGTCCCCTACTCCAGTCTGGTCATTCCGGGCACAGGTAACAGGTTCACAGCAACCGTGTTTCCAGGTTAACTGCAGCTGTTAGGTTTCTTTAACACGTTGGACAGCAGTTGGCGCTGGTGGCCAGACGAAAGCGAAGGGGGTGGTGGTGAAGCGAGCCTTTCGTCAGTCGAGAACTGGTTGTCACACAAGCATTGCGTGGTTCATCACCTCCGAAGATGGTCACTACACTTTGTCTCCTGTATTCCCCATCGTCTTGAGCAATGCGGCCCAGGCATTCCAGAGGTCCATCGACCATGTATTACGTGGCCTACCGTTTATGTACGCCTACATCAACGACCTCTTGGTGGCTAGTCAGAATGCTGAGGAACATAAGGGTTGGTGTCCTATCCTCCAGGGTTGAAGCCATTCAGGTTTCCGTTCCAACAACCTCCAGGCTTCGGTTGTAACGCTCCCTCGGCATGGTCAGTCTTTACCGCCGTTTCGTGTCAAATTGTACTGACCTCATGCTACCGCTCATCAACATACGCTCCGGTCCGTGGGGCCCCACCGGTATCCGCCACATCGATGGCGCAAAGAATGGGATGACTGCCTCGCAGTCTAGACCTCCCATCTCCGCATTCCAGTTCTCACATGGGATCGACCTTACTGCCATGGCGGCTGAGCGACGACAAGCCGGTTGTCCTGATGACGAATCGCTTGCATGTCTCCATACTAACAGCACAAATTCAAGCTAAGAGCCCATACAAGTGTTTCGCCGACATCCTGTCGCTGTATGAGAGCTGCGAGGGAGTTGGCTCGTTAGTTGGCTCCCGGCGTTCTCTGTGTGCTTTCTTGTAGGTACACCAGTTTCGAAATTTCAGCTCGCGGACGTCCCTCTGACCACTTGTGTCGGTACAATCCTTTTGTGACGTCTCAACTCCTTCACTCCTTCGCGCCCACCTCGATGCGCCGGAACAGCCTATCCGACGGAGGGTAGACAGAAAGGTGGTGTGGTTTTTTGGTTAGTCGCTGACGAAAAATGTGGCAGCGAACTCCCTTGCTATGCTCATGGTATGTTCCTAATCTTCAGCCAACTGAGCTCATACTCTCTACTCACGCGAGTGCTGGTCGGCAGTGAGCGTAGTCCACTTTATTCCTGCCATCAGGTGGGCAGCAATGCGATAAATCCTTTATTTTCTACACTCGAGTTAAAAGCTCATCAACAGGGATAGTAAGAGATAGCAGTCAGAGTATTCGCTTAGTTTAGAAAGCATCAAAGGTTATACAGTCAACAAACCAAAGAATGAATCGAAGACAAAACTAAACCAGGAATACGATACACTACGGAATAGTACGCGACTTTGGCGGGAATCGTTCGTTCGAGGAGGCTCTCCTTACGTTCAGATTCTTTTTTTAATTCAACAAAAGGGTATTTTGTACACAGGCAAGCGAGTAGTAAAAGAATCCCTCGCTGTTAGCAAAAGAGGCAGGAAGGCAGCGTAACAAGGGAGAAGAGAGCAGAGCGAGGCTTCACGGGACCGGACCGACAAGGAACGTGGGCCGTTTACCGGGCCAGGCCTCCTTCGCATATTTCTTTTTCTTCGGTTCCGACGCTGCTGCCGCCGTCGCCGCTTCGGGCTTGCCATCTGCTCCGTGCGGCCTCTTCACCGCAACACCGTCACCGCTTTCGTTGTTGTTACGAATGTCATCGGCGGTCATGGCGTCGCTGTCACTGGTGCTATTTCGAGCCCTGCGAGAGAACATGAAGAAGGCAGGGGTCCGCTGAAGTTGGCTGTCTGTCTCTTCTAAATTGGGTGCCAGGTTCGGCAGAGGGAGACCCAGCTTCGCGGCTAGACTGAAGTTCGGATTTGAAGCCGACAAGGCGCCGGAGAGCTGACGCCCTGCTCCTGTGGCACCGTTTGTCGAATTCTCGTACGCTGAGGCGATATAAGCGTTGCGTTTGGGAGCTGAGACGCCCAGGTCGGCTCCTTCATGAGCGTCTTTGCCCTGTGTGTGTGATAGGAGTCAGTACCAAAAACGAACGATCTTTGGCAATTAGGAGTCGGACATTGTAGTTCCGACCTAAGCTCTAAAGTAATTTCAAGGAGTCAAAACCGCAATGGAGTATACCATTAGTGATCACTTTCAATAAGATACCGAAAAAAATTACGGCGATATAGGTTGCCATTCAGCGATACCCAGTTCGAGGTAGACAAGGAACAAAACTAAAGAAGAAATTGTTCACAAGTTTACATCTTTACCGAAATCTCTGGCCAGTGGAGAAGTGAATAAAAACTTGGCTGTCTGGAACGTTAATGACAGTGATCCACGCAGTCCACAAAAAACCTAAGGTGACCGACTGCTCGGCGGCAAATTGCAAACATAGTGAGATGCGAGACCGATTAGTATTTTATCGAGTAATATGGCTGTTGTCAATCAATCGAAAGTTCATTCAACGGACACCTGCGGGAGCCAAAGCTCACGCATGACATTAGGCTTTTGAACGATAAATCCAAACTTTGACGTGGAAAAACCAAGAGATTGGTGCCCAGCCTTTTTACTGTCGCTTGAACATCACCCCTCATCCGCAATGTTTACTGAGACTCACGATAATTAGTCTCGACTGTTCAGCGTGTCCCAAAATGGAGGGAAATGTTTGGCGGGTTTAAAATACCTCTGAGCATGGGATAGTCTCACACTCATTCACACATAATGAACAAATGGCTTTGTGATAGACTTTTGCAGTTGAAAACGATGAACTGGGTTAGAAAGGAAAAAATAAGCCTTGTGAAGCCGGCGTCCTAAAGCATGATGTTGAGAGGTCGCATAATCTCGAGACTTAGAAGTGTGTTGTATGTATAACAGGCCTGAAGCAAAATAGTTGGTGCAGAGGCCTCCTAACGTTTGTATCTAGATAGCTTACAAGTCGTTCTAGTCTTACTACGCCTCGACTCAACAACGAAGGCGGGTGTTATTGGTTTACGATCACTGGCTACCATTAAAACTTTATGCATTGGCGAATGTCAAGTAGGAGACAAATAGTTGTCGCCGTTCAAACTGCAGAAAATAAACATGGTGACTATCTAGCTGCGGGTTCTCAACAGTCCACACGTTGCGCGAGTCAAGAAGATTAAACTTGGCCCTTGATAATGAAACGGCTAGACACTTTCGCCTGTTGAACTGATAATACGAAAACGACTGAAACCTAAAAATCCCTTCTCAGTTAAAGAAAACTACTTAGGTGGGGTTAGAATCGCTGTTAGCTGGGAACCCTAACCCAGTTTAGTTATTACATGATGTAATGCAAGTTTCGGTCATTTGTTTCCGTTAAATTCGAGACGAAGTCACAAATTATGCAGTGTGTATTTCTTCACTTCAGGTAGGTAGAGTATTGGCTGTACTCAGGTCTTCCCCTGCTCTCGTGGGTTCGAATCCTACCGAGGTCGCCGAGTTTCCCCCAGTGCTTAAAATATGTATATGTATATAGCAGTTCACCCACAACAATCAAAAACTGCGTCCTAAGCAGCCTGTATGGGGTTTGTGTGGGTGGTGCAGTGTAGAATTTTGATGACCGATGTTGCACTGTATTCAGGTCAATCTAGAGTTAACTCGTACTCAGACAGCAAAACCGAGTTGCAGTTCCTAACATTGCTGACAGTCGGAGTCATGCAGGTGGGACAGGTCCGAAAACTGGCTTTAGCAGACGGTAGCTTGTTATTTAGCACAGTTGAGAAGTGTGCGTGGATCTAAATTAGCAGATAATGCCTGCGTGTTTCGAGACACAATTTATGTTTACTTTGCTTTTAAGACTGTCGAGTTGTACACAGCGTACATGCTTCTCTTCATGTGCGCGGGATTAGACCCTACTGCGATCAACAAACAATGGAGCATGTCTGGATCACGTTGCAAACCGTAGGGGCATCGACAATCAACAGGAAAATGCAAAATATGAGTTATTGTTATCCCTCAACATGACTAGCATAGGCGCCAATGAGCACTTCAACCTGGTTAAAGTAGCATTTTCGATTCCAATGAATATTTGATGTACGTCTAGATTGCAGGAGTTCTGACGCCTACTGACGATAGTGTACCACGTTGAAAATTCGAAATTCAGTAGGCGCAAGACAGGTGCTCGACAGACCTTGTTAGGAATGAAGGTCTCCTGAACCAAATTTCGAAATCGGCCAACGGAAGGATCCACGTCCTCCGGGTTTATCACTTCTTCTATATCGTTGAAGTGCACGCTATGCATTCGTCGTTGAGTACGCAACGGCTTCGTTGGTGGTAGCTCAGCTATGCTCGTGATGCGGCGGTTATGAGCGGTGTTGAACTGAGTGAGGTTGTCCAGTTCTACCTCGTCTCGTGGCAGCTGCCGGTGAAGTCGGGAAAGGGCGTCGCCTAATTTGGGGTCAGCCTCCCCGTTGGCGCCTGCACTGCCAGCAAGGGCTGTCCCTCCGACGCTGGCACTGACTCTTTCAGGATCCGTGGTGTTGAGGCTGTAGAGAGGGGCGGGGCGCTCGCGGATAATGTAAAGACGCGTGGACGCACCAAAGTGTATTTCTGAGTCAATAGGAACCTGCAGGGCAAAGATGAGTGACACTGGATGACAACCACATAGCTACCAGCAGGAGTGGAAATTAAGGGAAACGGGTGTCGCTGTGGCGTTCCAGGATGCCGTCTGAATTGACAGTCGCGAAGACGTTTGCAAGCTTACAAAGATTTATCGCATAAAACATTAGTCGTCGATGGCGACGGCGCCTCCTGGGTCACAATGTAGGGAAATCGTCAAGCATGATAATGACGGGAAGGCCCGGTCACAAAGGACAGACATCTGAATCGCAAAAGCGGGACGTTTATTAAAACTGTGATTTTAATGGCCTTGCACCCATGCAGCAACGACACCAAATGAGGCAACGTGAAAATCAGCGACCCCAAAGAATCGTACAATCGCTTACTTGGGAAGAGCTTAAGAGCCTCAAACTTTGAATGATGCATACTATAAGATAATTCTTGGTTTCCCTGGTGGTGCGATCCAGGCATTCTTTGGCAGCAGATAGGCGCGAACGGTCCTGATCCTCTTAGCCGCTGCAGGTAACCGATGCGCCAACATCGCCGGCAAACCACGGTAGGTGAGGCACAATACTTGTCGACCAAATTGACGTCCGTCAGTAATCCATCTTCATGATAATCCCAGAAACCTAGACAGGACAGCGTCTGGCTGTTGTTTTAGCTGCCTGGCGCGAACTTGGATGAGGGATAGTTAAACTACCCTCAGTGGGGGCTGGCTGAAAGATAAGCAGACTTGTGTCTGGCGGATATTTGGTCATAGGCATGTGAGGCAATACTGTCAGGGTGAGGACGACCGTCTTATAAAATGCCGCAAGGCCCGATAACACTATCAAATGGCGAGCGTGAACTGCCATCAGGCAAATTCTTCCTAAGTCTGCCTCGTGGAATGTATGGTCATCCAAAAGACTAATCTAGAACCATAGAAATAAACTTGCATCAAAGCCCTGTGCCTCTCTTCCATGCAATTTCCTCCGTCGTTTCTTATCTGGTTGCACTGAAGACTAAATTGATTACACATACCTCCACTACATTGACTAGACTTAGTATATGACTACCGCGCGACGCGAAGTGTCGACGCCGGCAAAGGAAGTGGCTTTGACGATACCGCTGGAAGTCCGCAGCCGCGGGTCAGACTGGGTTATCGAGAAAGTAAACTACCATTGAGGTCCTACCGCCACCACAAGCCTCTTTTTACCTATCACCAACCCTGTTTACGCACTGACGCAGACTAGAGTCGCATCCCGGGCGCCTTCGATAGAAAAAATACCGGCTTGAATGGAACCGTACTCTTCAGAGTAAATGGCCGGAGGCGTCGCCACAGGGATGTTATCCTTGGTTAAACAATCTTATTAACTTATACAGCAAGGGTTGCTCCAGTTGGCGGTGATACGATCCTTAGAGACGAGAATCATGAGATCATGCACCCGCCCAGTGCGACCGCAACAAATTCTACAGTATAACTGTCCGGAACTCCAAAAAGGCGTCAGTAAACGAAACGAAAAAGCAAAACAGGATTTTGTGGATGAGTCAGTCTTATACTCTGACTCAATGAAGAGAGACAATCAGAGCGTGGTGATAGCGCTCATGTGAGGCATGTCACTACAGTGGAAAAAGCAATTCGTCTTGCCTCCTAACCCTCTCTGTCAAAGTCTGGTATGGAGCCTTCCAGTGCCTGAGATCAGCGAATCGATAACGAAGGTTAACAGTAACAGCATCTGGTGAGAACCCTTCTCCATAAGAAATCTACTGGCTCTGGTCAACAGTATTCGATGACCCGAAACATTTTTGATCCAAATTTTGAAAGTGGAAACCATGTCCACATGTCAGGGCTACGCTGCTGAACCACTAATCTTAAGGGATGGCGACCGATCGCCACAACAGGACTGGCGCGGTATACGCTTTCCTTAGATTTCCGAAAGTACACTCAACCGTCTTCTTCGATAGTTTCTACTTTTTTCGTGACTCACTGGTAAGGAGCGAGGATGTCTTGAAAAACACTTCTTGTTTCGTCAAACCCTTTAATACTGCCGCTATCCTCAGCAACCCACTCTTCTATTTCGTGAATTTTCCCTGTAATCTAGGCTCTGCCCACCTGGATTCCCTGCGGCTGATTATGTTGAGTAATGGCATGCGACCAGAGTTAATTCAATGCCTCGAGACCACCCATCATAGGGGAAGAATGAAAGTCCGACCAAATGGCGAAAAGAGTGAGTTTCTTTATATCGCCTCTAGTGTCGATCACGGCTGTAATATTCCACCAGTTCTTTACAACTACTACAAAGCACCGTTCCCGAGTTACAGTGGTTCGTCATACACGTATAAAGTGTGTTGCGGTGGTAGCGCGCCCGTTTGCGGAAATGTGGCGGTGGTGTCTCCGTTAAATGCAAGGGCAGCCGAAGTAAGCACGAAAATAAGCCACTTCAAAATAAAGTTGATGACCACGGGTTTCTTCCTCGAAGACATGAGTTCGGTCACGGTAAATAGTGAAGCTCTTTGGTTAGTGGAAATTTTCTGCTACCTATGATAAAGTATTCTGTTAGATGTGCGAATTAATGATTAAATCGACAATCGTAAAAACTAGACTTCGTCCATATCTCTGGAAATGACACGATACCAGTTTAGGGGTCCAACATATGTGTGTGTTAAGACTGCACCGGAACAATTTCCCTGTGAGCATGTGAGACATAAGGCTGGGCTTAAACATCAACAGTCTGGAAGATGTGGTCAGTCATACTTGCACTCCATCCTCCGAATTCATCTACTCTGACCCTATTCCCGAGGACCGGGGATGCTGACGGTTACATACTGCGGTGACCCCACAGCGAAGTAGACCAATGTGTCAACTTACCGAATACGGACGTAGCTTGGGATAACGTCGATGTGGTCAACTAAAGACGCGGCGGAAGTGGACCTGAAGTAGAGTCATAGTCCTGACAAACTTTGATGGAAGGCAGTGAGCCGTGGTGCGGCTAAGGTATAGCATAGTGCCCAGTTGAGTCGGGTATGGTAAGTGTGATCGAAGCAATGTTTATGTTGGCAGATTGGTCAGTGATTTTAATGGCCTCTTTTGCATTTTCACGTTCATGAATGCTAAAGCTAAATTCGCAATGGCTAGAGCTTGTTTGGGCCTCTCGTATGGCCTGCACAGTATAAGCACGTACTCCGGACAGACCTTTTATAATAGGCTGAGTGACCTTATCATACAGAGGTTCGATACGACAAATTTCATAATCGACAAGTCAGTCATACCTGCTGATATGATCCTCATTATTTACTGACCCGTTTCTACGCCAACTGGCCACGACGTGGCTAAGAAAGCGGCCTGTTCGTTCAAGGACCAATGCCTTGACAATCAATGACATTAGATGGCATTTAATTGGAGTTTCAAACTATCGGTCCTGCACGACTGATTCACACTTGCTTACTGGTACTTCGGTCGAACTCAACGATTTCATATGCGGCAGACGGCCGTGCTCGTTATCAGCGCAGAAGGGAATATTTGAACTATGGCGACACTACTAGCGTTAATTGACATTTAAACAACTGTAAATGGAGACTTTGACTGCAAAGAATCCAAGACTAGTGGTTGTGTATGCCTGCTAACTAGACTGTTGGTAGAGATCTACTACTTACCTAATCAGTCAAAAAAAACAAGCAATCTGCTGCAATGAAATATGCGACTCAATCTGCCTATGAAAGCCAGTTAGTATGGTCCGCCTTCTTACGTCAGAAAGCATCTCTGGCACTTTACTACGTTGCTATCGAATGATATTGCGCGGCACCGCTCATAAACGCCCTAGAATTGTTTTCTGGGTTCGAACGAGGTATGCGACAGAAAGGCACCCTTCATAATGAAAATAACGGCGTGATTTTTACTGACCGTCCCAAACACGCCCGTTTCGAGGTTCAGTCCCAGGCTCTGGTTTGTCGAATGGGGCTGGAAGTTGAAACGGGTTCGAAAATCTTTCATAAAGCTGGTCAAGACTTTCATCAGCAACCAAATTGGGGTCCAATGGGACGGGATAGCAGCCGGAATCAAAATGAAATGTTGTATACATGTAACAGACATCTGTGTGACCTTAATATTTAGAGAAAATAACGATGAGCGGTAAGTAGTAGGACGCCTAGCATAAGATAAAACTACCGGGAACATCCGCTATAAACTTACAGAAAAGCAGTTAATATAATAGCAGAAATGAAGAGTATATCGAGTGCAAACTTAGAGTAAAAGAAGGCTTAGTAACGGAACAAAGGAGGCCGCAGAGTAAAGGAGTGAAAAAGATAAATAAACGGTATGAATGTACGCAACTATTTGCCGGAAAGCAAACGGTAGGGACGGCGTAATACCTGTTGAGGTCGGTCGGCCTCCAGACGTATTTTACCGATAAAGGTCCCATGTACGCTTCCCAAATCAATAATAAAGGCGCGATTTAAGTGTTTGTGCCAAACAAGTGCTGCGTGGACACGGGAGCAGGACTGGTGGTCGACTGAAAAGTCGCATAGCTGGCGGTTACGACCAAAGAAGTAGCAACTCTTTTCATCGATCATGAGTTTCTGTAACCAATAAAAAATAAGCAAAGTAGCGGCACTGTGTTTAAATATTTTCGGACAGATATAAACAAGTGCAAAGTGCTAATCCCGGACAAATATACTTGTTTGAATGTTCTGTATACACTTTACATAACGTTTGTTATTGCGTTGTTGTTTTCCTTTTGGATTTGAAGTGATTGCTTGTGAGCGAGGACCGCCTGAGGTGAGCCAAGGGTAGGACAGCGTGCCGGATGAGACCTTGGACAGACCCACCAATTGACAGTTGCAAGTCCACAACCGTGTGGACACTACCGAGTTGTTTACTTTTCCTACTCAACCTATTTTCTGGTTCGAGCTATATTAATAAACTTTGCGTAAAAGTCATCATTCTATACTGTCTGACTGTGTCGACGCATTGGATGTCGGAGAGATGAAAGTGGACTCTGACTCCTTTTAACCTGGACAGTCGTTGGAAAAAGTATGAGGATTGCCGACTTTAGAAGGTCCCTTGTCAGACAAAGTTAAGAAGACAGCTACTCGGGTACTACATAGTTGCTTAGTCTGCTGCTTTCAGTTGTGTACGGAGGAACACTCAACTGGGCACACGCAGAGAGTGAGTTAATACAAGAATACGGCGGCTGAAAAGAACAAAAGCCGCGAAATCCTTCATAAGCCTTCACATACACTTATTCTAGGTAAGGATTCTAACCAGATGCAGTGCAAAATTAAGTACAACTCAGGTAAAAAAAATCAAGGTTACTTTGGTTACCTGAACTAACTTGCCCTCTTTCATAACATCAAGATGTAGGCCTGTCGGAGGTTTCCCAGCCCTAAAAAGGAGGAATTAGTAGGAATCGCTTTTACCAAGTGGGAATTTTGTAGTTATTGACGAGGGGTTCCCCCGGCATTGACGTCATGATGAGAAGAAATAAAAGACGGTCTGGGACGAAGCTCCAAAGAAACTACGGGAGTTTCCTTTTTCAAATACGGCAACAGGCGCACCTACTTCCGACTCAAGTGAAACGACCTATTGAAGAATGGAATACTGGCATCAAATGAAAAATAACAAATAAAACGCATGACCAGTTGTTGGGAGAAGTGCCCCTATGGAAGACGCCATGCATAGCTTAAAAGTTGAATATTGACTGAGCTTACTAGGTAGACGGTTAAGACGCAAAAACTAAATAGGTGACAATGCAAATAAATGAACCTTAACCGAACGGAAGGGACATTCTATTGTCAGCAAACCAACCAAACAGTCATGTCTGAATTGAAGTGGCTTAAAAGGAGACGTAAAAACAAGTGAAAGACAAAAAATGAGAACACAAGCTGACAGTCATCTGAGAAAACATTTTTCTAGACTTAAGTACACTCCGTTGAAATACGGCGAACATTTGCCCTCACAAATAAACAGCATTAGAAAGGGCAACTGATTCCTTTTTTCTGCCCAATTTTCAGTCCAGTCAAAGCACACCGATGGTTGTTTGCTTACACATAATATAAGCAAAAATATAATTCAAGGATGTGCAGGTCAAATCTGGAAACTAAGGACTAATTTGCTGTCTTTTCTTGAGGACTTTAGAGTATAACGCCCAAGATAGGCACCGTGACACCGCCGGACTCGAATTAGCTTATCAGGAGCACGGCAACACGAACAAAAAGACGTAACTGCCCATGCAGCGACAAATAACAGGGCAACTGATGGAGTAGTGCAAGATTTAGGGCAAGAATGTAGCGGCCGAGGACGTCAGGAGTAGCATACACCAAAGAAAGGAAACGCTGAGAAGAGGTCCTGGCGAACAGAACTGTTAACATCTGTTGACACCCATTCACACGCAGGAGAAGAAGGTACATCAAGTAAGAGATATGGTATAATATAACCTTTATTTTACCATTCAAATAACCCTGCTCAGGTGAAGGGGCGTTCCAAGCATGCAAAAGACCGTGTGACGACCCATATATCTGAAATCAGCGCACTCTTTCTCCACATGTTTTTCAGTTCAGTTCAGTTCAGTTCAGTTTATTGAGGGAAATAGGCGTAAGCCTTTGAGTACCCTATTTGTAACGTAAAAAATGTGTGGTGTACAGAAAGATGTTCTGGGCTGAAATAGTTCGAACACGCCCATAATGGTGGGACAAAATGAGAAGGAGTTACAGGGGGTGAGCTCGACTTCTCATCGCTCTTGGTCATTTCGCAACATAAATATGTCCAGATTCTTCTTAAAACTTTGTATAGATGGTGACATCACAACATCTACGGGAAGCTCATTCCACGGTTTGGCCACCCGAACCGAGAAGGAGAATTTCCGCACATCCAGCCGTGCTGCTGAGTGCGCAGTTTTAACGGGTGACCTCGGAGGTTGGTCGTGGTAGCAAATTCAAAAAAGTCCTCGAAGGCCAGACTGCAATCCAACCCCTTTACAATGCGGAAGACTTGCAAGAGATCTCCGCGAAGTTGCCTGTAACTCAAAGGAAAGAGGTTCAGATTTACTAGGCGGGTCGCATAAGGAAAGGAGCTTTGACCCCTGACCATCTTCGTGGCTCTCCTCTGGACTCTTTCGAGGCAGTTTTGATC